CTTCTTCTATTGCGTCTCCATAAATTACAGGATGGACATAACGTTCTATGTGTACCATGCATGACTGTCACCGAAGGCGCCCAAGAACGTTCTTTGAGAAATAACAATTTAAATATGTCGATCCAATCCTGAACATTTGGCTTTGATCAGTATTCAAAGAAAAAACCCCAGAAATCCGGTCTATCTAAAGCATAATGTCTAAAGAAAAACTAATGTTATCCAAGTTGAGAATTAGATATTGATTATTCTGCACAAACGATATTCAAGATACATGCACACTTTAAGTATTATTCTTTTACTTCTGCAAAGACCATGTCATACCTAAAGAAAATGCAGTGAAACACACTCGACAAGAATAACGAGCCATGCTAAATTTAACAGTTCCTAGGAAGTATGTAGGCATGGGTGAACCAGAATAACCATACAACAGGCTGTAGTGTGTAGACAGTCTGATAGAATCGAAATCAAGTATGCTTGACAGCCCATATCATGTATTAAAATGTATTTAGATTCCGAAGAATGGTCGTGAAGTAAGATCTACAGAAATGCTCTGGGTCTTTGTAAACCTGTATTATTTTGGTCTCTGAAACATGTTTGCTGTGTGGAATATATGCAGAAAATTTGTAATTACACATCAAAGAGATCTATACAATTTACATTTGAATAACGTAACTACGTATCAATCTGAGATTAGAATCAGCGGAGGTATAGAAATAGAGAGGTACCAAACAGCACCGTCAATGCTAAACATATGAAATTCATGGAAATCTTTATTCTTGTACAAAAAAGCATAATTTGATCATAAAAACTCGTTGCTATCCATCCAAAGTGTTAACGTTTCTCGCATGTAACACAGGACTGGAAGTTTATCAAAAGTACACCCAGCATTATCCCTACAACCGCTCTACAAAGATGCAGGACGATTTAGAGTTGGCACAAGGAGACACTCAAAAGGAAAATATGCAACAGCGCTATAGGAGGTGAAAATGAGGGCAGCATTGATCACATTGATAAAGCCATGTCATCCGTTTATCTCAGCCCCTGTACAACTCTACAATTTCCAAGTGTCACTCAAGCTACAAGTAACACGTGAATAGAATAACTCCGTTCCGAATCTGTGGAAGCCGTGACAAACATATTTAGGATGGCCATATTGCACAATGTGCATGGTTAATTTGCACACATAATGGATGCCAATCAATAGGCATGGTTAAATTGCTTAGTGTCAGTTCACCAAGACATTGTCAGGAATTTGTAAGATATATCCCAGACACGAACATATGTGGATTAATGTGGTTTACAGGGTAAACGGGCAATCGTACAATGGTCTTTGGCCGTATCTCGTAACTTCATCGGTTGGGCAGGATACGCTCATCTTTTCGCGAACACCTGGTTTCATCACCATTTGATAAAAATTCGTAAACACAGTTTTTACATTGCAGTGTAATTTATTGTCAAACAATGTTGTAACTGCATAATGGTATTGTATTTTGACAACAAGTAAGTGTCAGGAATGTATAACTGTCTAATGTGAGCAGTGGCGTGGACGTAACTAAATTTAGGCGCTTTTTGAGGCAAGTGTAATCTAGGGGGCGGTGTGGTAGCCAAGTGGTTAAAGCGTTTGCTCGTAACGCCGAAGACCTGGGTTCGCTTCCCCCCAATGGTTCAATGTGTGAAGCCCATCTCTGTATATTGCTGCAATATTGTTAAAAGCGGCGTAAAACCACACTCACTCATGTATAATCGGGAATGTTCTAGAATAGCTAGACTGACATTCTTATGATATAGTCGGAATTGTACGATGGACTCTGCTTTCAGTAGAGATTTCTCATCATAAAGGAAATGTTTTTGTTGATTTTAATTTTGCTAAACAAGCAACTTTTGCGTTTATGTTTCAATAAACCAAATAAGCTAAATGTCCGCGCCTACTGAGGGACTACTGGTTCCTGATCGGCTGAATGAACAGGGCTCGTGTCACTAATATCGCACTGTTGTCTGCTGTTTTTTGGTTAATGATTAAATAAGCTGGTAAGGCTCATCATCAGCTCGGGGCCCTTGCCCCCCCTAAACGCAGCCCAGATAGCGAATGGCATTTCTACCAGGAAGCGCTGCCTTGTCAAACCCACCCAGAACTTTTCTGAGAATGTGAAGACGCCCTAACATTGCAGCCTTCTGCATTACCCATCAGAAGGGCTGTATTCCTGGTAGCTAACCCGGGTACTCTCCCAATGTCAGTCAACAGGTTGGGAGGTACCAAACCTAAGGCACCGAGAAAAAATGGGGAGTCGGACAACTTTTAGTGTGCATATCTGCCATGTTTTTCCTGAATCTTGTCAACCACATCAGTGTCAAAAGGGACAGAAAATTCAATGATATAAATTACTTCATCGGATTTATCAAAAAGGACAAGATCAGGTTTGTTGGCCCGGATATGTCTGAGGTTGTATAACGCTCAAGATTCATCACATCTCGTTAGAAACTTGCGTTGATTTGAAGTAGATCCAGCTGATTGTGTTGGCTGATGAGTCGTTGACAATCAGCCAGAGACTGAACAACAGGGTCTATTTAGACAGTACACCCTGGCAGAGTGAAACCTCTAGCATTTTCTCCTCCGAAGAAGGCATAGTCTGTTCCATCAGCTGTCAAGGTGGTGACTTCGGATTTCTGATATTCATTTGGAATCTCACTGGTGGACTACACTTCGAAAATTCAAACCATAATTGGACAATTACATACTTATCTGTATAGGTAATTGCGGGGGAAACTATGGGTTCCACCAAGGCAATGCATCTGTGCACAAGTGTGCTATAGCTGTGGCTGCAATGCACTACTGAGGCTTTGAACTCATTGAACATCCTTCTGAGGAGTGAACTGGGCATGACAAAGGTTTCAACATGTTTGTGCCAGGGCTTCTGACTCCTTATCAGACACGCTCCAGGTTTATCATCCCTCGTGCGAATTAACGTCGTATTGAATTAGTTGAATGATTTGTGATCATGGGTGAGTTCTGGGTTCACCACTGTCATCCAGAGACTAAACAACAGTCGAAGAAGGCAAAGTCTGTTCCATCAGATGTCAAGGAGATGGCTTCGGTTTTCTGGGATTCTAATGGAATTCTACTAGTGAAGTACCTCCCTAAAGGTTAGATGTTTAATGGCCAATATCATGCTGTGGTGCTCAGACAACTGCATGAGGATATCAAGGCTAAAGTCGTGGAAAACTAAACGCGTGTTGTTCCATCAGGACAAAATACCTGTGCACAAGTTGTTAAGACTATAGTTGCAATGCATGATAGTGGCTTTGAACTCATTGAACATCCCCAGTATACACCAGATGTAGCAGGTATAGCAGCATTCCAGCTCTTCACAAACGTGAAGAAAGAACTATCCGGCTGGCATTATACAAATGATGATAGCATCATTTCTGATGTTGAGGAATCCTTCTAAACCAGTGGGGTCAAGGCACTCCATGATAGTCGGCGGAAGTGTGTGGATCTTGGAGGGGAATATGTTGAAATATAATTATCATCAACGGAGTCATTCACAGTTAGGGTTAGAACTGTTCATCCTTCATTTGAGGTGGATCAATGCGATACACGCGACAGGAACATGACCTTATCCAACAACAATCAGGTATCATACAACGGTATCCTTTGGGGTCATATACGGACGAATACGTAAATATATAAGGTCAGGGTTAGGAACTACTTCCAGTACTTACGAACAAATATGATGCCGCACTTCTTCAGAATTTACCATCGTTTATCTGGACAAATTACTGGGATAATGGTGGTGTTCGCGAGAAAAAGATGAGACGATTACACGAGATGAGAAAGTCTCGCACAAGAAACTATAGCTTTCTCGTCTTATGTTATCGCTTTACTCTTTATCGCGGCCGTAACTGAAGTTCAAAATATTCTCCCTAATAACAGAAACACACACGATATTTATTGTGAGAAGTAACACACCTTTACTGCATATCTAAACACTCGATGACTGATGACATATTGGACATGTGTCCAATATGAAGACCAAGGGGAAGGTCATGATAACTCAATATCTCATGTGTCCACCATTAGCGTCAAGTACTGCCTGGCCCCGTCTGCCCAAGTCGAAATGTGAGTACGGATCACACGTTAACCCCATCGGCCTCCAGTGCATATATCAGCTTTCACTGTGTCTGTTGTTAACGGGTCATCCTTCATTAAACGCTGCCATCTAAAATCTGTCGACAACCCATTTGCAGTAAGGCAGGGCGGGACAACTTAGGAATGGCCATGAGTCCGAACTTGACCACACAGAAGGAAGCGAGCTACAAAAACATGTTTTATATCACTGGAAAGCTCTCGGGGAGACGAATCCAAATAATGTGTGTCCCAGTGTGTACACATGTTCATAAGCTCAAACATTGGCTCAGAAAATGCATTACTGCAGAAATTTCTGGCCGAATTTTTTTTTTCTGCAGAAATTTCTGGCAGTATTTTTTTTTTCTACAGAAATTTCTGGCCGAATTTTTTTTTTTCTACAGAAATTTCTGGCCGAATTTTTTTCTGCAGTAATATTTAGCAGAATTATTTTAATTCAGGAGAAATAAGATTCAATCATTGGATAGTTTGAATTGAATTCAGCAATTGAAGATATTTATCTTGGTATTATATTTACCAAATTTATCAAGAAAAGTTGACGTCACTCGAATTAAACAATGGAACAACATGTTGGCCTCATACATACATATACTAGACAGATGCAAATCATTGAACCTTGAGCTTACCCTATCATTATCTAAATTATTATGAGAATTTCAGTGACCATCTTCAATGGCCTTTTGACGACTTTGAAGTGTACAACATTAAAGGTGAATGTGATTCTCAAAAAATAAATTTCATAATTATTCCATCGGGCCAACCAAATATATAATCCCCAGTTGGAATTCAAAGAAACAACCTACATGTGATATACGGTACTCTGAAAGTAGGTTAACTTCAGACATGGAATAAAATAGAACACAACCAAGATTTTACAATATAACTGCATATATTGTTTCATAAATTTCTTTGTGCACATCTCATCTTATATATGTATATATATATACAATTCTAAATACACAGCTTTACTAAGAAACAAAAACATACAAAGTACAAAACTCCTGCAATGCAATCCTCGGCAATATCTCAGCCACATAGCTTAGACAAAAAATATGTTCATTTCAGCAAAACTTGCTGCTCCTTCTTTATTGTTCTGATACTGACGCTTGTCTTCGGTGCTTTGTCAGAGTGATCTGAAAGTAAAGAAAAAAAATGTAAAGAATATGAGAACATAATTAAAATCACAGTGCATCTATACAATAAAAGCAAAAATAGTAACCTCATGAAGTTGGGTTGTTTCTCTGCCCACATTACACATATTCTAAGTAACGCTGACTAACCCTAATATTACACATCACAATACATATTTCAAAAGAAATGCAATATTTATTGAAATTACCTTTGATTGTTTTTGCAGTTTATCATTGTTCTTCTCTATTGCCTCTTGAACTTTAGTTGGGAGGGTTGTCGCTTCCCTTGGGGCAGGCATGAAGGGCTTGAAGTCTGATAGCTTGGTGGTGGGTGTCCGGATGTCCCCAATCTTGAAGGAGGGCATCGCGGGTTGTTGCAGGCTTCTGTCTAAGTTCCCTTGCACTAAACACTTAACAGTTGATCCAAATCTTCATGCGTGTGCCCCACCATGAGAAAGAAAGTTTCACCTGAAAATGGTATTTACATCAGTATTATCACTATGAAAACAAATCAAATTGTACAAAACTTGTTTATTTTTACAGAATATTGATTTGAATATTGAGAGAAAAATCAATCTTGTGCATTTAAAAAGTTTCAACATTGTGTGCAGATTCTTTTATACTTAGGATGAGCAACTGGACATGAAATACTTGCTTCAAAACAATTGTAATGTGGTTTAAAACAATTTACATAAATTATAAAAATATTAACCACATGTGACTTCAGCATTTACTTTGAATTGTATAGTATAGCCTCAAGGAATAAATTTGCTATACATGATATTGTATGTGGAGTCATATACCAATAATTTCATTGATAACTATCTTCATGATAGCACTAAAAGTGATACCTTGGATTGCAGCGTCCACTTTTGACTGGCCGACAAAGTCTTGCAGCTTTACTGGTCCTGGAAATGTCAAATAAATATTTGAACAATACATAAATTGCAACTTTAATGTAATTGGATAGTCATACAAATATAACAATTGCCAATTTCCATTCTCAAAAATCCACAATTCCTCCAAAATTAGACAAGCCTACCAGACAAACATTGAATTTATTCAACAGGCCCGTACCAAGCATTTAGCTAAGACAAAGATAAATTTCTATCCTTCTAAACGTGTGTTACAATTATAATGTACAAACAAATGTCTTGACATACATGGCACGATCCCATTACAAAACAAATCCCATTACATCCTTTACTAATAATATTGGACAAACTACAATAACGTAACCCATATATGTGCACTGTGGATACTAAGCTCCACTGGTTTCTAAATAAGAATCTACATAACTCCCTACCAATAGGATATGTAGACAGTAATATATGTTTTGGTTTGGTTTGTTGTTTACTGCCGCATTCAGCAATATTCCACCTATATGACAGCGGTCTGTAATTAATCGAATCTGGACCAGACATTTCAGAGATTCATATCATGAGCATCAATGCAGGTCAGCGAGCCTGACCACGCAATAGTGTTAGTCGCCTCTTAAGACAAGCATAGAATTCACTGGAAACTGGAAAGGAAATATCACAAAAAGACATGGTGTGCTTGGATACCAATTACACAATAATGACCCATTAAATCGGGATTAGTGCACTTTACCGGGCGCACTTTATCAGATCCAATTAGCGCTGTTGGGGCTCGAACGCGCTTCGCCGACTCACCGGCTCTGCAATTAATGCGTTAATTAGCCGACGCTCTACCACTGGACCACAGGCGCTATCACATGTAATCAGTGCTCGTTTAACAGGTCATTAGAATCACCATTGACATGCATGTGTAATTGAGTAAACAATGAATTGCGCATGCGTGTGACGTCACGGCCCGCTCTCCCATTCATCTTTTCTTGAAACCACACCCGCAATTGTTTATGTCAACAACCAATGGGATTAACTGAATTAACGCTTGAAAAAGTAAGAATTTATGGCTAACCCTTGCCCAAAGCCAGCTAACCCTAATGACCGAAAAACGGGTGTTGGATCGTAAAGACGTGTAAGTTTCCCTAAGACCTAGAACGGGTGTTTGATCGTAAAGATGTGTAAGTTTCCCTAAGACCGAGAACGGGTGTTTGATTGTAAAGATGTGTAAGTTTCCCTAAGACCGAAAACGGGTGTTGGATCGTGAAGCGAGAGTCACCAGAGCGTGAGGCACGGTAACGGTATAACGAGACAGCGTGGCACTATAGCGCGGTAATTGAGCGGATGGTAGAGCTCGGGCTGCGCCCGGTAAACTGCATTGTTGCCCAGAAATTCGAGAAGAAAATTCGCGAAATTCGATATCGACATGTCCTCTCAAAACGAAGAAAGGGTTCTATCACTAGGTCCACGCGAGAGTATGTCTCGTAAACTTGCCTAGCCCTACGCCTACTGTTAGCACCACCGAGTAGACCGAGCCACCCACCAACTCGCACCCTAATTAAGTCATGGCCCTGTGGGCAACGAGGGCAACACTTACCTGGTATACTACGTACGTAACACCAATATAATGCCACGCGAAGCCATATATATATAAAGGCTACACAATCCGCGTATGTTCGCAGAGCCCTGGCTCTTCCGCTCTTCCTTTCCTAGCTCATGTTGACATTTTGATAAAAAAAACAACATGCACCGTGCTTTGATTCCGAAACGAAATTTAAATTGGCAACACAGTCGGTGGTGGTAAAAAAACCCAGCGCAACGAAGCCGATGGAGTACCTCACCCCTACATTCGCCGTACCAGTTTATTTTCGCGTTCGTAGCTCAACTCTACCTAATAGTGCCGATGCAATAAATGAACTATAGTTAACGACATTGCACATAAGCATTACTTACCAATTTCAGTGTTTTTCCTTTTGGGCAGATTTCTTGAAGAAAGATGTCTGCCTTGACTGTTGATGACGTTGGTAAGATCTGTAATAGGGTAGCAACATGTTCAGTGAATATGTTCATAAAGAAACCATGATCCAAACAGAAGGCAAAAGTTCTTCAAGATATATACAGTGTTTGGTGTACAAAAATAGAATAAAATGCCTTACCCATGTCAACGTTGTTGAAGCAGAGCTGGTGAACCCTCCTCAAGGTATCCAGAGCTTCTCACTGCGACCAGAACTTGGGTTTTCGATGTGATTTACCGACTTGTTGAATAGTTATCGTTTGATCGTCTGACAGAACGTTCTCGACGATTTAACGATATTTAACGATACCTGATTAGGGTTAAATCTATATATACCATTTTTATGGTCGGGCGTCCACGGCTGATTGGTATATCAAATCAAACACAAGGATGTATATCATCCCCCTGAGTGTTCACGCCTCACTGGGTGGTCACGTAATAAGGTGTGGCACCAGCATCTCGGGTTACAATTTGATATTAATTCAAGTACTCCACTGATAATGTACATAGGTAGTTAACTTAATTACATTCAGTTTTGTTCGACAAGGAGCGAGTTTACTTTTTTTTAGACACAGACTTTGTAACAGGCTCTTCCCCTGGAAACACATATATTGTAAATAAATATTTTGCCGTTTCCATCAACTTTATCACGTGATGTTCTATAACTGTTGTCTTGTACACTATCCATAGTGTAAGTCAGCTGGCTCGAGGAATTTTCATATAGTATTATCATTAAACAACATACCCTATGCAACAGTTATGTTGCTACCCAGACAAAACTATTTTTATATTCTATGTTAAATGTAAACGATCAGTTTTTATTATAAATACAAAGCCACCTTTTAAGCGGTAATACCTATCACGCATTAAACAACATATATGAACAACCATGTGATTATAAAGTCTCACGTTGGTTCCTCCGTGCAACTTCATGCCTGACTTACATTCATATTGTTCTTTCACCACACTTACGCTTCTCCAAATTTAGAAAGAAGCTGTGTACACAGTGTTCTTGCGAGTTACAATAACGCGTCCGGTTTGGCGGCAACTTCAAAGAGTGGACATATGGTTGCTCCTTCAGGTAGCTATAATTACCCTCTCTATAGTGCAATATCGTATTATCCATTTGTAATGAATGATAGTAACACTAAATCGGATTGGATTCAGTTAAATCTACATTTCTCAAGGTCTCTAACATCGAGATTTGAAATATCTTTCATGTAAATACCTTCTTTGTCATGTGACTTGTATATATTCAGAATCGTACCTACGAACAATGTCTTTGAACAATGGCACAAGCAACGTGGTCTCTTTCTGTAAAACATAGCACTCTTTATTTCAGCCACAGCAAAGATCCCGAACCACGTGCAGTCAGCAGAGTTACAGCGTCTGGTTACCGTCTTGTAGTTACGATACAGGTAAGACGTCAAAATATTTATTGTTTTATTTCTGGAAACGCCGACCCTAGAACGTGGAATTTTGGTAACACGGTTATTTCATATAACAACAACCAAATAACAACCTGTACTCCAAACAGTGAATGTGTGGCTCTGCTGCCATGCGAAACGCGATTTGTAAGAGTCTAATTTTAGTGTATTTATTTCTACCACTTTTGATAAAAAAATACGCAAACAATCTAATCTGAAAAGGAGATATCTCCATCCCCTATGGTGTTATTGCGACTTGTATACTGTCTACATGTACATGAGGCAACTTATTGTAGCTGTATGGCGACACTTGTAGTGTAGCTATGTGACCATGAATTTGCCTGTGGTGATCAGTGAAAGTGAAAACACGGAAAATTACAAAATACCAATCCATGCAGTATTTTGATGATTTACATGCGAGTTTTCTATTATTTATAACGTTAGAAATATTTAGATAAAAATAACTTTATAGACCCTATGTTTATTAATATAACAAATTGTTGTATTAATGTTTTCCTAAAATAAACATATATATCATCTTTTCTTATTGCCCCATCAAAGCTGGTGTTGAGACAATATAGAATACCCAAACGACGCATATTGTACGTGCCGTGCCGCCAGACTTCCTGCCAACTTGGCAATTAAATATCCTCGGGTATTGTCACTTCATACGATGATACATTGTCTCGCGCACGTGGTTGGTGGGTTTTGTCTATCAGCGCCACGATCACGTGATCGTTTTGTTTATAACTCTGTGTTACGGTCTCGCCGATCCTAAACTTTCAAAGCCTTCAATAAAATTTATGAGATCATTATCTTATCTTTATTCCGACTGAATCCACCTTTATTTCAGACGGCCCCTCACACACACACTCCCAATGCAAATTCACTGAGGCTTGACCGTTACCAATTAACAGCTGTCAATTAAACAGTTCGCATCTAAGTAGTATGTTATCGAATATATTGAAAACCTTTAGCGTGCTACTTTAGGGGGGGGGGGGGGGGGGGGGGGGGTTAAAGGAGGGTGTTGGTTGTTCACAGGGTTACTCGACAATCACAATGTATACCGGTATTTCAATAATTGTATGATAATATTTAGTCCTTGGGCAGCCCCAATCTAAAAACAACAATAAAATCCTAACTCTCACCGACTCCCTTAGTGGACTAAAAGCCCTCCAAAACAAAAATACCAAAAAACGACCTAAATTAATAAACCAAATACTTAAAAGCTCCGACGACCTAACAAAAGCAGGCAAACAAATAACCTTCTTGTGGATCCCCGCCCACGTAGGAATTTACGGCAACGAAAGCGCCGATAAAGCAGCTAAATTATCTCTCAAAATACCAGTAATAAGCCTAAACCTACCCATCTCAAAATCAGAAATTAAAAGTGTAAACAAACAAAAAATAACCATAAAATGGCATAATCAATATCAAAACTCAAATAGCCAAATAAAAAAAGTGCTCAGAAAACCACTAGCCAAAACCTAAAATCCTACACCTCTCTAAACAAATTGACAGATTTATTACAAAACTCCAAACAGGACACACGAACCTAAATAACCACCTAAAAAAACTTAAAAGACACATCACAGGCAACTGCCCCCACTGCAAACAACCCGAAACCACAGAACACGCACTCATCCACTGCACCCACTACCAAACACACAGAACCACACTACAAACCACCCTCAATCTAAATAAGGTTCCTACTCTAGATGAAATACTAAACCCTCAAAATATACCAGAAAACTTCAAGGCCCTAGGCGTATTCCTAATCAAAACAGACCTAATTAAGCGCATCTAAAAACTAATTATTCTACCAATCCAAAATCCAATAAACATACAAACACCCACCTCACCCGGCTCCCTTAGTTCCCTCCTCCACCCACCTCGGCATTTATTCCAAATTTAAAAATTCCAAAACTTCAATATAAGCAACCCCTAAAACCCCCCTCTTGGGTTGCACACATCACTTTCACCCTTTTCGGAATACAATAAATGGTCCGGCCAGGCCCGTGTGCGAAATACGCTACAGTCGGAAAGCGCACGTTAAATCTCCTATATCAGTCAGTCAGACCCCAGTGTTTCATATCATTTTCCCACCAAACTAAAAAAGAATAACCCCCAACTGGATATGTTTCGTTTCGTCTGTCGATTCATATTTTGGAAATTCAAGGGGAACCACTCCGGCTTATGCAGCACACACATTTGGGAAGGTTGCTTCAATAATAATAATACCTCTTACCATGGTTTCACAGTCGTTCGGAACTTTTTTAAAATCTGACATCAGATTATCCTGTCCGAAAATTTATCTATTTTTTTTTAGTGGAGACAGGCCTATCGGAAATTCGAACTTGAACAGCAACGCCAAAACCACATTCCGCCGCAGTGACCAGCTGCTGATGACATAGACTAGGCTAGCTTTACACTAAGTCTTGTACCAGGCTGGCCCCTCTGGGTAGTAGGTCTGGTCTCTCCTTTGTCCTTGGACCCCCTTTCCGATCATAAGGGTTGAGTACCCCTTGCCAATGAAACACGTGTTTACCATCCTTTTACCTTAGAGCACCCATTTACGACACATGGGGTTAGTTTTGAGTTCGGTTATGGTTTAGAAGTCTCTTGATATAAACATATTTATTTCCATAAAGTGGAGGGATTGGCAAACAAGCAAATTTTGCTATCTGAATGCCTCTCCCAAACATGATACATAAGTCTCTTTTAACGAATTAATCCAATGTAATTTTCGCAGTATACTCATCCTTATATAATTTCAGCTTCATGACAGTGTGAACATTGAGTGCCCCCTACACAAGTATGCAGTCACTGACAACTTATGGAGTGACCTATACAAAACGGAAGATGCAGACGACTAGCACAAGCACGCACGCACACACACACTCAGACGCACGCACGCACATGCTATATAAGTGCAATTATCTTGGACGCGACATATTCAACCCAATTTCAACTCACCTCACTTATCTTACTTTGTTCATGTGCCTAAAGTTTGTGGAATGTGTTAATTACTGAAATGAAAAGCATTTTAATGTTTTTTTCATATCTTTTCAGAATATGTGCACATAGCTTTCAATGACCAGACGAAAAAAAGAATTCATTTCAAGTATGTTGAGAAGAAAACGTAAGTAAAGCACACTATTTACATTCATAATACATTTTATTCCGCAGGCTCTATTGTAAAGTTAAACTCTAGCTGCGTATAGGCTGCCATTATCCATTATATTAGACAATATGGATCCACTCATCTATACATCTATTTTCTTTTGTGACAGGACCCATCTCTGAAAAAATCACCTCACCCAAGAAAATACGACTTATTCATGAGAATGAAAAGTGCAAAGTCTCCCAAGAAATTGTCTTGTAATATAGCATGTGAATAAATAATTTTTTGAAATATCTCACGAAATTAGTTTTATTTTATTGCTTGTAATCATGTGAACTAAAAATGTTTGTTTTGAGGAAAAAGGTCATTTGAAGCAACTCCAGGTTAAACTATCCAATGATTGAATCTTATTTCTCCTGAATTAAAATAATTCTGCTAAATATTACTGCAGAAAAAAATTCGGCCAGAAATTTCTGTAGAAAAAAAAAAATTCGGCCAGAAATTTCTGTAGAAAAAAAAAATACTGCCAGAAATTTCTGCAGAAAAAAAAAATTCGGCCAGAAATTTCTGCAGTAATGCATTTTCTGAGCCAATTTTTGAGCTTATGAACATGTGAACACACTGGGACACACATTATTTGGATTCGTCTCCCCGAGAGCTTTCCAGTGATATAAAACATGTTTTTGTAGCTCGCTTCCTTCTGTGTGGTCAAGTTCGGACTCATGGCCATTCCTAAGTTGTCCCGCCCTGCCTTAGTTCAAAGCGTTCATTTCTACGTCGATACTCGATGCAGCGTGGATGTCACTGAACCATACAGTTCTCCATCGCTGGTGAGGCCATACCCTGCATGTTTAAAACCACTGATGAGACTTGTTTCGTGAAGGAGGTTCCGCACTCTCTGATCAGTTATATGAGCTGCTTTGTCACTTTGTCACAAATAACGTGTGATGCGGTCCTGTGCAGCGTTGTAACACGTCGCCTTCCTGATCCGGGTGGGTCAAGTGACGTACTGTGCTGGTAGAAGGTAGACTGGGACACGTACAAAGATTACCCTGGCTACAGGCGGCTGTGAATCGCCTGCTTCAAATCCTTTGTTTCCTTGTGTTTCAGCTAGTCGTGGCCTCACTTCGCAGTTGAACAGTTGCAAACAGACAACGTTTTGACCACCGAGATTCCGCCAGTTTAGTAGAGCTTTCAAACTGTTTTATGATAGACATGTTGAAGACGTTTCCAAATGTGAAGCACTCATCAGTTGGACCTTGAATTGCCTTTGCGTGTCTGTGTTTCACGCACACCTTATATCTTCATTATCTGGTGGTTCTTGTGTGGTGTCATTGTTATGTACTGTTCCGTCACGGTTACGCATTTGGTGGTTGCTGCAGTTTGATGGTACCAACAATAACCTTATCAATATTATATTACATTCATACTTCACTTAACGTTTATGTGAAAATGCGCCTTCATCTGTAACAACGTTCAAATTCCTCACTAAGTAATACATGTACAACAACTCCTTCAACTACCGCTGTAATGGTTGGCATGCAGTCTGGCATCTGCAGTACACGATAACGTACATACAGGGAAATAGATGGCTGCTCCTGGGCCCCGTTATTTAAAAATTGATCGTAGTGCAACGACAGTCGTAAGTATATGTTAAAGTATGGGAGTTACGATCATCTTAGCATCACTTTTATGATCATGATAGCTTTGTGGAAGGACCACTGATCTGATACTGTTAAGTAAGATCAGCAACTTTGAAGGTAGTACGTAGTTCGTAGTTCAACTCTGATAACTGACCATCTGAACTGATCTGATAATACCTGTAATGTACACATGTTAACTGAAACGCTGGTGGCCCAGTCGTCAAAGGCACCGCAATTCGCTGCACATTGATGCGTCCCTTGGGGGTTCGAATCCCGGTTCGCCCCGATTATGGTTCTATTTTTGTCAACTCGTGGGTTACATCATAGTGGTAAACGTCTACGACCTGCATCACGTCGGACTTTCCTCCCACATTAAGCTGACACGCCGTGATATAACTGGAAATCTGTTCAAAGCGGCGTTTAACCTCACTCACTCATTCAGTCATTATGGCACTGTGAACAAAACCGTGTTATATACTTTTAACAAAAGGTAGGGAATCATTAAATATATATGTTAATACCGAGTATTAGAACAAAGATATTGTTAATAACAAACACCCTTGGACAGAACGTTATGTCACTTTCATGATAGGCCGTTTAATCTCTGTGGGCCATTATTTCTGTCAATGTTATTGATTCTGCTTATCATACAATTGTGATTTACTCTATTTCATTCATTGCCTGTGTATTTTTGCTATGCGGTCGGCAGCTGCGTCTGCAACGTTGAACGTCTAGGGGCTATTGGCATGCAGGACACAGGCAGGGGCCAATACCTTCAATGTTTCACAGTCTATGGAACGGGTATCAACGAACCCAAATGTTGACGATCGACCCCGTTCGGGGCGTCCCAGGTCAACGACAAGAGTAAAGGATCGATTTATCCGAAACCAGGCTCAACGAAATCGAGCTCACAGGGCAAATCAAATTGCTGCAAACGCTCATCAGGCTACCAGTGATGTAGAAATGTTCTACATACAGCTCATCTCCATGCTCTACGGCTACTTGTTGTGCGAACCTTACAAAACGCCATACTACAACAGACGTCACTGGTGTACGCAACGTCAAAACTGGGATAATGGTTGCTGGTCACGTGTTTTAGGATGAGTCCCGATTCACTGTGTACTTTCCTGACAGGCGGGGTCGTGTCTGACATTGAACGTCAAGCCAATGTCAGTTTGAGACCTCATGACAGATTTGGCGGTGGATCGGTTATGGTGTGGGGTGGCATCACTGTGCGAACCGCACTCGATATTGCACAAGGAAGGATTACTCGACAGTACAACAGACTGACAGCCTTTGCTGTCCTGTTTGCAAAGGCGTGTAGGTCGACGTTGTGTCTTTCAGGACAACGTCAGGGCTCACTGCACGAATCGTCAATGCTTACCTACAGCAGCACGACATCCATAGAATGACATGGCCAGCAATGAGCCCAGACCTTTCCCCCATTGCACACGTCTGGGACATGAAAGGGAGACCACGCAGAGCGCCGACAATGTTGGCTGAACTTAGCCAGGAGCTGCAAGAGGAGAGGTCTTGTGGTAGAGCCCCGGGGTTCGATCCCCGGCCGCGTCCTACCGAAACACGTTAAAAGATGGTACTTGTACTCGAAACAAATGACATTAAAACAACGTGTTTGACAAGACCCCTTGTAAATAACATTAGTATCTTGAATACATTTCCTTGTGTCTTGGACCACCTCCGTGGTCTAAGGTAGAAGGTTCGCCCGGAGAGCGGAAGGTCTTGTGTTCGATCAACATACCAAATGACGTTAAAATATGATACTGGTTGTTACCATGTCTGGCGCTCGGCATTAAGGGGCTAAAACAAGGACTGGTCGTCTCGGTGTCAGTATACTGTGTCTGAGTGGGGTATTCATGTTAAACTGCGACATGGTACCTCAGTGTGCTAGCACTATAAATCGGCATCAGTCCGAACTAGTACAAGCAGCCACACACGCACGCACGCACGCACGCACGCACGCACACGGCCCCGCACTCTGTCACGAACTCTACATCGCACACACGCACACTGCATGTGCGTCACTATATAAGTGCAATAATCTTGGACGCTACGTTAAAGTCCATTTCACCTCACCTTGTTGATTGAATGAATGTTTGACAAAGCGTATCCGTATTACGCACTACTAATCTAAAAAAGTCAACATTGAAATTTCCCATCTTACCCCTATCGTCCTTCAATATCGTTGTCGGTTATAACATCAACTGTCATACTTCACTACCGGTTGGAATGGGTTCCCATGCATTGCTTTAATTATTATCATACAACTATTACTAGAAACTACTATCTCTTACAATTTTGGAACGTTTGAGTTATTTCCGAGTATCCCTACTTTTTTTAAGAGTATATGATGACTGTTTCGGGGGATAATGTCATCCTTTGACATCCTTTTGACTCAATGGAGCTATCGTCACCAGGGTTCATTACGCCTAGATCCAGTTAATATTAAAGTCGAGTTTGCCTGAGAGTTGCCTATGTGAAATAAATGACTTGCCTATGTTTGTAGTTCCCTTTTGTAATCGACTGAAACGGGAGCTTGACAAAGTGAAACACGACATAAGTCCCGAATGGAAACGAGTCTTTCTTGGTTACAATTGGGTGCAAGATAGTCAATTTATTTCCTTAGACTGACGTGATTTTTTTTTTCTGTGGAAACCTATAAGGGCCATTGTCGCGTTGTCACATTGTCGCATTGCCACCCTTACAAAAACAACAACTAAATGTTAAAATTAACCAAAGCGACATCTTTGTTTTGTCGCGCTTGGAACAACGCGTCGTTTTTCACGGACAATTGTCGACCCATAAAAACATTTTGTAAAAGAGGTGTTACAATAACCGACGGCGCGACAATGCGATCTATTGATAATGTCGCGCTGTCGCCCTTTTCAATAAATGGTATGTATGTGTAGTAAGTGAATTAATCTGAGCATGTGCAAAAATGGTTATACTTCTTTTTAAACTCCGGTAGTCTTTTGTTAGCTCCAATGGTTCTAAAACCAAAATAGCCATACAAAAATAGCCATGGCAATATGGTTTAGTGTTTTTCAAAATTAGAACGCATCTTTCATCGTTGCTTTAGAAATTATTTCATATATCATCATTATCTGTGTCGTTTTTCATAATGTGTTTTCACATCACGAAACAAACACTTGGCATTTCTGTTTAATTTAATTCCTGTCTCCCACATCTTTTCAAGTCGATGAGGACACAAGGTTGGCCCTGTGGTTTTAGAGAGCGCAATTCTCTGTGCAGAGATGCGTCTCCTGGACGTATCAGTATACTATCATCGTTAGTGAATCCCAGCACCATACATACACATCACTTGGGGATATCACTTGAAATAACTGAAATATTGTTTAAAGCGGCGTAAAGCCACAGGCCACAAAGCAAGGAGCCATTTGGCCCCTGAGAGTTTCTAGGGATTCGGCCTTGCCTCACACCCTTTAAAGCACATATGATACATGTGGTGTCTCTTTGGGCAAGTGACTTTGTTTGAAATATGCCACTGTTCATTCAACAGTGAATGAATACCGGATGTTTTGGAAATGTGGCTGTTAACCTTATAACACCTCACAGGCAGCTTGAGTTGTATACTCCCCTTGGAGATGAAAATGGCCGGGGTATTAATGCGCT